ACAACTGTCCCCCCCCAACTCCATGTCACATCTTCAACCCACTCGGGTCATTCCTTGGAGCTCCACACCGGGACCTGGGGGTCCAGACCCCCCCATCCAGCACAACCCACCTGCTCCGCGTCTCCACAGGTTTGGAGAGGGCTGTACTTCACCTCCCTGCGTACACAGCCAAGATTTTATACAAAATTACATTAACAAAGGTAAATTTCACAGGAATTTGGAGATACGGCAGCCTCCCTGCGTGGAGTTAAAGGCACCTATTGATCTCTGTGCGATCCCAGCCCCGCAGTGGGATTTAACAACACCTTCCCTCGCAACGTCGAGGAACCAAGGGGCTGCAGGAATCAGGAGACAGGGGAACAGGCCGTTTCTCTTACAGAACACAATTTATTTGGCATTTGGATGAAATGTTTCTCACAGCATCTTGAGAGAAAAAAAAAAATTATTAGTGCCAACCCCAAAGAAAGAAGTTAAAACAAAAAAAAAAAACCGAACCAAAACCAGTGTCACAGGGACTGAATTATTATAGTATCAAATTTAAATTCTACATGGTATTTCACAGAATATCAAAATCTTTTATACACTGCCACAGTTAAGTCCAGTCACAAACCAACTACACAGGAGAAGCCTGCAAACGCAGCGCCGGCTAAAAGTGTTTTCCAGGAGAAGGTAAAAAGCAGAGTCTCTCTCTCTCTGTGTCTCGCAGCCCCCCAGGCAGCCCCCAGCCCCCCCAGCCCTCAGCACGGGAGAAATGAAAGCTCCGTGGTGCCGCAGGGGGCAGGGAAATGCACCCTGTTCTCAGGGAAAACTGATCTTTATCACTGAATGTGCCTGTTCCACAGAAACGGGTATTTCATTGGAACTGGGGAACGTCAGAAGCAAAAATGCACAAACTTTGATTTGCCTCCTCTGCACTAAATCTGCTCTAATTTTAGGGTCAGGCTCCCAGTTTGCAAGGGCAATTTAAAAGGCGTTTCTCTGTGTCACATGTTCCTTCGCTGGGGAGAAAAAAAGGTGTTTCAGTGACTGAAAAAAAACAAAAGACGCGTGTTATGGATTGTGTGGGGCAACACGAAAACGCCAGCGCTTTGCTGGAAAATCCAGGTCTGAATGACAGTAACATATTTAAAACCAGCTTCCAGTTCATCTAACACTAGGTGGGGAAAGAACAGTAATTACTGATGGCAAAGCCATTTCCCTCCCAAGCGAAGCTCAGGAGATGTGCACAGGCCACCACCCCCTGACGCCTGGGGAGGCAGAGCACCCCTCCAACCTAGGACTGAGCCTTCAGGAAAAGCTTCCCACCTCCCCCATTCTTCTTCTAGATCCACACCCTGCCATGAACGGGTAAAGGAACAGTCCGAGGCTCAACACCAGAGGAGACTGAATGTTACAGACCAGCTCTTCATACATCTGAGTTCTGACGTAGCACAGAATGAAACCCACCATCCCCCTAACACCACAATGCTCTACAACTCACCGGGTGAAAACCCGAGAGGCTGCGTGCGGGCATCACCGATAACACCAACAGAAGGGAACATCTAGAGCTGCTCCTGAAGGAACAGCAGAGACCTCCCTGTGGCTGTAGGGACAGGGAACCTCCGGTGATGCCACCTCCAGGGACATTTGGGACCCACGAGCAGTTAAGAGAAACACCCAGAGAAGTGAGCAGTAGAGGGAATGGAAATAAAAAAATAAACCAATGCACAAAATTCCTCCAAAGATCTCATCAGTCTAATGGCAATCAAACCAGAAGGGTCTTCCTCGGGCAAGCATCGACCCTCCGTAATCAGTCTAATGGCAATCAAACCAGAAGGGTCTTCCTTGGGCAAGCATCGACCCTCCGTAATTGGCGCTGAGGACAGAGCGCTTACCCATCACCTTGCCAAGGGCAAGGAAGGTTTGCTGAGGAGTCAACTGCTGTCAAGAAAACTTAACTCCTCCCCAGTTGGTCCAGAAGCCTGCGTAGTTGTGACATTTTCTGCCACAGAGGCTCTTACTCCAAGAGACAGTACCCAATGTGAGAAAGCTACATTAAAAAGGGGAAAAAAAAAATGACAATTTTATTGCCAAATTCAAAGCTTACCGAGAGGTAAAGGAGCTGTACTTAGCAAGCTGCTCTGTTCAAGGCAAAATTTCCCTTGTTTACAGTTAAGATGAAGAAGGACAGGGGAAATGAGAGGAAACAGCAGCCTCTGTGCCAATGTACAAGAGGGAAAGGCTCAGAAGCAACAGGGAGAACATCACACGAGGCTTCAGCAAAGACGCCTCCGTCTGGAAGAGCCACAACCGGGAGCCACCAGGAAGCTGCCGGCTGTAACCGAGCTTATTCTCCAACCAAATGCACCACAGAACCAAAAGCAACAGAAAAACAATCAAACAGATTCCCGCAGCGTTGGGAGAAGTGCGAGGTATCTCTTCACCTCAGCCACAAAAAACACAGCTTCAGAGACTAAACCAAGCCCAAAGGCCTTTTGTTATTGCGCCGGGAGACTACCAACAACAAATATTCCATCTGGCTTCAGAAGAAAGCAGAAGTTTTCTAGTTTTGCACTGCTAAGGGAGTATTTGTTCCGGAACAGACTGCAGTAGCACAGACTTTGCATCCTGCTGAAGCGTACCCTCTCACAGCTCCATGCCTAGCTTGGAGAAGTATTAACCCTAAAAGCCTAGTTTTTATCCCAGTGCTTGGCTTCACCTGGCTGGACGCAGCACAAAGGTTACCATCTACAGTATGTATATATATATCTCTCTATCTTGCCACCCAGAAACACGCACACGCACACACGCATTCGTACCTATAAAACTAAAGAAAAAAAAAAATCAGTACATACAATGTATAAAACGTATGAATGTGCTCAAAAATGCACAAAAACCCGCTTTATTTTCATACTTCAGAAACGCTAAATAATGTGTAGGCTACTGCTATCCATCCGCTTCATCGGGCCGGGACTGGAGCTCGGAGGAGGAGGGGGCAGGAGGTCCCAGGGGGGGCAGAAGGTGCTCCCCCCGTCCCGTACCACGGCCAGGAGAGGCGGCCGGAGCCGGGGGGACGCGGGCGGTGGGATGGGGCTGTGGGAGCAGGGGATTCCCCACAGCACTCCCCCCAACTCCTGTGCCCCCCCACAGCTCCGACTCACGCTCCCCCAGGGATTCCAGATTGCTAAGCGAGTGTCTGAACGTCAGGACACCAGATATGATCTCCATACCAAAACTCACAGTTTTCCGTGCAAAAGGAGTTGAATTGTCAAGACCAATCCCCCAGTACAGTATGAGCCTACGGGCAAGACACAGAATAGAAAGTAGCAGCATATTCAACGGGGAAAGAGTCAGCTGCGCTGGGAAACCACGACAGTGGGGCAGGATTTGTCATACGAGTATGATTTCTCATCGTTACTAGAAAAATAGATCACACACCCCCCCATGCAGTGTTTTTTTCCTGTCCCTCTAGGCTTGTACCCTTCATAAGGCAGCAGGAGAACACGCACACGGGGCACCCTTTACAAATTCCTTGTAACTCATCTCATCGGCCGACTGCTACGGTGAGTCGAGGACAACAGAGGCAAGAGGAGGGTGGGGGGAAAGGGTAAGGTATTTGTACACCAACATCCAAAAATAAACTTAAAATCACCTGCAAAGATTATTTTGCACTTATTACCAAAACTTATTACCAGTGCTTGATTTGGATTTAATGGGGGAGTGGACGAATGTCTTTGCCATCTCCAAATTAACTTACTTTAAAGAGTTGAATCTAAAGGGGAAATTTAAGATGACATATCAGACTGAAGCAAACTGCTGTATCGATTGAAGCACACTAACCTCGTTATAACCCCTCGTGGGACCTGGATAAATGGTTTGGGGGGGCACAGAGGAAATCCCTAGAATAGGGTTGGCAATTTATGGGACTTGGATAAGGAACAAGTGTCCAATTAGAATTAAACATCAGGTATAGCGTGTGTTGAACACTTTTAAATGGTATTTGTAGAACTGTAAAGAAGTGAAATGTAGGGGTGGGAACACACTTACATGCTAAATATAGCATGCAAAGAAAAGCAAACCAATGGTCTTTTATCCAGGCCAGTCTTGTGCAAGTGCTCACTGTAAAGGAGTTAAACTACAAAGAAAAACATCTCAAGCTTCCTTATGGGATTCTAACAAACAGGGGCTTCCTATCATGAAGTGAGACTGTCTCAAAGACAATTGCTCCCCATCCCTTCCCTAAAGCACTACCTAACACACATTCTACCCAGGGGACACAACCATCACACAGACCCAGTATTCTTTACGGGCCAGAAATTTACCCGACAACATGAGATTTTGCAGCTACAAACAACAAATAATTGTAATTGCAAATCCTAGATTTTTTTCTTCGTACCCGTGTGTCACACGCTGCGTCCATCGTTCCTCCTCCGGTCCCTGTGGTGTTCAGAACAGCACAGATTGCAACACACAAACGCTTTACACTCTGTAACTCTTACTTGGTGGCACGTGTTTTAGCTCCTCAGTGTCCCCACCGTGTAACACCGGCCCCCAGCCCCTGCCCCTGCCCTTCCCAAGGGTGGCAGAGCAGGAGAGAGAGCAACTGACTCAAGGGTGACTGTCCCCACCCTCCTCTTCCATCCTGGCTTCCCTGGCTCCAGTGGTATCCAGCCAAATCCAAGCAGCTTTTTTTCTGATGGAGATTTTGTTTCCTCTCAGGTTAAGAAAAAAAACCAAACAAACAAACGACAAAACAAAACTACCCATACTTTTCACCTCCTTAGAAGTCAAAGGAATTCTCTGCACTCTTTTCCATAGCCAATGGAAAAAAAAAAAAAAAAAAAAAAGAAATCCTTAAAGCTCTTACTCCCTCCCCGTTTTCCTTGGGCATCTTGTCATCAGCTACAACCCAATTCAGAAGAAACTTCCCCAGACTTTGGACCCGGCTCCTCCGTTAGCTTTATAGGTTAGAACTGATTTACAGCCTTGGGTATTTTCTCTGGGTAACTTTTTTCCAAGACAAAGAAAAAAAAAAAAAAAAAAAAAAGAGCAGTTAAACAATCCATATGTACAGGACAAAACGATTAGTGAATGAATAACGACAGCCAAAAAACGAGAGGCACAATCCTAATCTAGAACATAAAAGCAGTGTTCAAAAAAAAAAAAACCAAAAGTGGGGATTCCTTCTGAAGTTCAAACCACGGATTAGTGTTTGTCTGTGCAAACGGCTGCTAAAACTATTTCTGAGGGGCAGTCAGCTCTTTGCTCCTTTATACGATGGTGTTGAGAGAACAGTGGCTGTGGCGGCTGCCCGTGAGAGTTTCTGCCGGCGGGTTTTCGTTTAGCGGAGTGTCAGGAGGGACAAGAAAGGTGCTGCTGTCAGCAGAGTCTTCCAGCTCCACTGGAGAGGGACCGACGGAGGGAGGAAGCGAGCCCTCTGTAAGCTGCGGGGATACATCACAGTTTCCTAGCGATGGAGGACTGCTTTGCACAGTCTGAGAAAGAACTCCATCTGGAAAGGACAAAAAACGAGCAGAATCAGAACAATTAGTACATCATTTCACGTTCCCAAATAGATTTACTATCTGTATTTCTGGAAACTCTGAGTTTTTCCTGGTTTCACATTAATGCACAAAGAGACGATGCTGCCAAAGAGGAAAATTAGGTAGCAAAAATAAAGCTTTGATATATAAATAAGATAGTTGCAACTAATCAAGCTCGCTTATCTCATGAGATACGCTGCTATAAAATCCCAAAATGGAATGATTTCTACAGTATGTGAATATTGCAGCTGCAGAACTGAAGAGCGCTGGGTGAATCATTAGAAAGTGATATTTTCGGTCAATTTTTGAGGGGTGTGGGTGGGGGAAGTGGGGAAGAGAGAAGACACTGGATATATTTTATCCAAAATCTCTCATACTTGACATCTGTTCTACTTTTTAATACCAATCTCTAAAGACCTATCTCCGAAAGACCACAAAAGGTACCAGCATAGTGGAAAGCAGGTAACCCATCCAAAGAAAGGCTGGAAAACGGGTAAGGTCTAGGAGTTAAACTGCTTGGATCATGGATTCCACTTGTAATTCAGGGGATCCAAAGAAAGTTTGAGAAAAAACAAGTTTAATGACACATCTTAACAAAAGACTTTTCCATCACAGAAATACATCTTCCCCTCAAAATCACTAATATGCAGGATTATAGCTTAAAAAACAAAAATCTCCCCTCCAGCCAAAATGAAAGAGGAAGAAAGGAGAAGCGATTGCCTGCGTACCTGGAGTGGAACAAAGGATGCCATCGGGATTGACAGAAGCCTCGTAAGGAGGAGGTGGGTCATCAGGGTGTTGAATATCTGGGTACTTGTACGCAGTGTAGGGTGGGGGCGGGTCGTGGAAATGAAATGCCCCACCTTCCCCATCATCCGAAAGATGCAGCGGCGTGAGGCCAGTCCCAAAACCATCGGGACCGTAATCAAAGCCAGGCATCCTGCGGCCCAAGTTAAAATGGTGCACTACGTCGAGAGAGGAAAAAGAAGTAAGTGACTTTATTCCATGCTTTCTTCTTCAATTTAAGGCAGATCTCAACACCTTTTTCCACTTTTCACACCCAAGGAACTCACGTCTCCTGAAGACCTAAAAAAGTCTCCATAACCTATACAAGTCAGCTCGTTGCGGTTACACAACGACACCCAACCTGCTCCTGGCCTGTTTGTCCTGCAGCACGTCTAAATTTGAACCTAACCTCCTCAAACTAAGGAGATCATTCACGCATAGAAGATATTTCAGATCTGGACCACACACTTTTCCATTATTGGCTAAGAAGTTCAAGTTTGAAGAACCTACCAAGACACCCACAAGCAAGACCGTGACATTGCTCACCTTTACATACATTGACCTGTCACTAATAAGCATGAGGCATGAGATAAACGTTGATATAAAAGCTTTTTCTTTGAACGTGGTGTGGTTCAAAAAGCCACAACTCGTACAAATCACCACCACATTTGGGCACAGCACTGAGTGGGAACCTACAACCAGGCTTTGCTGATGTTTTCCATGGATTTGTGTTTCTTCTGCTCTCTTTATTCCGCAGCGTGTACCCTACTCAGATCTAGAATTGGGGCTACTCACAGTTGGCTCCAATCAGGGACTCTATGCGCTCTCTCCGCCTCTGGCGCAGCCGGTGGACCATGAACAGCAGGAGAGAGAGGATGAGGAAGGAGGAGATGCAGCTAACGATCAGACGCATCCCACCGGCCATCGAGTCAAACAAGCTGTTGCCATCTGTTAGATAAAACACACCAAAGAAGCCTGTTACTTTTGTCCAAGACTCATTTTCCTTGATGATGTTCTGTCAGCAACAGAGAGATAAATGCAGGGTGGAGATTCATTAGCCTGGTTTGACACTTCTCCATATTTCAAACACGTAGGGAAATTATGAATCATCATGAGATTTATCGATTTATTGTAACATGATCTAAACGTTTCTAAAAATATCTTCATCAGCAAGAGGGTCAAAATGTTGATGGCTTCAGGCCTCTGACAACAGGAAAAAGGAAATGTTAACAGTGTCTTGCGCATCCACTTGTCTCCCTGGTGGGCTGATGTTATACTGGAGAGGACAGAGACTGGAAGCGATGGGAAAGGCCCCAGAACTGGGGTATCTACAAACCATTTCTGTATGACTTCTGGACATCTGAACTTTAACATTTCAAACAATACCTCAAAACATTGTTCTTATCACCAAGATGTGGTCATCTAAATTCCATGTGTCATTGGTATGTTGATTAGCACATCATTATGTGATAGGAACTAAGAACACCTTAAAAAGGTGAATCAATGTGATAATCTGGAACTGAAGAGATTAAGGTAAACAGAAATGGAATCTTTTCCTAGAACCACACATAACGCAAGTGGCGGAACATGGAACAGATCCAGAAGTTATGACTTTTGAGAGTTCTGTGCCCATTTCTTTGTCCTGGTTTCCCATTAAAGAGCTCTGTGTGAGAAACACACCCAGGTCAGGGTGGGTAAGGAGCAGATGAAGTGGCTGCACAACCCAGTCACACACTGCTACAGGACACACGTACACCAGGGATGAACCCCTGTCCCCAGTGTCACCCCAGTGTCACCCCAGTGTCCCCGTACCTCCTGGAACAACCAGCCAGACCCTGGCCACCTCTCCTTTCCCACACCTCCAAGAGCTCTCTCAATACTTTTCCTTTCACCAACAGCAATTAAAGCTCTAGCAAAGATTCCTCACAAAAGCAAGCTAAAAGCCTCACAAAAAACTGTAAATATCGACTCGCCACAAACGCTAGTAACAGAAAAATCCACCTAATTTATACATCGTTAAAGTACATGGCTAACAGGCTGGTATTTCTAACAATGCATTCTTGGCAACAAGAAGTGCATTTAATAGTGCGCTACGCACAGAGCTCGAGCATCACACCCTCAAATCTGGCTGTGCTGCACAAAAGCCTCTGCCCTGTCAAACCCTTCAGCAGCTCATACTGTCAGAGCTCACAGGGACACGGCCACCTCCCAACCAACACACCTCCTGCCCACCAGGGACCTGCTCCCCAGCCTCCTCCGCTATGGGAACACCATAAATCAGTGCCAAGAACTGCCTCTAATAAAGTGACTTCAGTCAAATGTACACAGGGGCAAGCAGGATGCAATCTTGCAGGCAGACAGCCCAACTCACACGTGTTTGGCTACAACTGCAGCTCCTGGACCTTCTGGGGTGTCTTGGGTGCTGTGACACTGCTCCCAGCCTCAGACAGCTCCCACCAGCCAGCCCCTTCCCCTGGATAAACTACTGTCAAGCAAAGGCCTGGATTAACAAACAAGACAAAGAGCCAGGTCGTGCGGAACAAGGTTAAGTCATCACAGAGATTTCCAACCCACATAAATACAAATGGATTATTTCAGAAAGGCTGTTTTACACTCTGTACAGTAGTAATGCCCTGTAACTGCACCAGTTTAGTCACTAGAAAAGCTCCTGCACCATCAGCTCTTTCAAAGTGTTTTATTTCATTTGCTACCTTTCCACAAATAAGGATTCCAGGTCTGTCTGAACAAGAGCCACACAGATAAACTATTTCCTACCACCTCGACGGAACGGCAACAGACAGACTACCTGGGTTTTAGCACTGGTACATGGCAGATTTTCCTCTGCTATTTATCTTCAGCTAAACGAGGGAAAGCATCTTTCGAGAGAGCGTAGCTGTGATTGCTCAGCTCACTCCCACTGCTGGAAAATTCCCCTACCCCCCAGTCCTTGAGTAATACTCGTTACCCACTCGCAGGCATGGCTCATCCACTCACACCGCGAGAGCTGATTACCTGCCAACCCAACAGCAGGATTTATTTCCCCCCGGCCTCTCCTCGGCTGATTAATTTACTTGCTGGTGATCAGTAAACTGTTTTCTTTCCTTTGCTACAGAGTTCAGGGAAGATATATGTAAGAATTGGACAAAGATAAACACACGCTGATTAAAGAAAGTAATTCATTAATTTTGTCAGCTGGAATAGCCATTTATAAACACCCACAAGGAAAACAGAAACGTTTCATTTAAAAATTTCAGTGTTTATCACCAGCTGAAGGAACTTCATTATGAAGGAAGTTTGACAACTGCTTGATGATTCCTCTCTCAGAAACTGAGTTACTGAAAAAACCCAGAACACTTCAGGCAAGAGTATAATGAAACAGTTTTATTTAGCATCAGTACAGAAAGAAGAGCTTAAGGATCAGAAGGGACGTGGTGAAATACACTCTTCAAATCAGTATTCATGAAATAGTTAAGACCCACAGCAATAAGCAAGGATTAAAGAACACGGCATGAGGTTATCCCAGGTCATCTTATCCCATCTGCGGGATGACGCTTTGCTGACACTGTTCCTGAAGATAAAAAAAGTGAAGACAAAGTCTTAACTCCGCTGACAAGAGTGGGAGGAAGACTCCTGCTGTTTCCTCTCTCTTTCACTGGCCAACCTGCAACACCAGCTACGAACATCTGCTCAGCTTAACCCTCAGAAGGAATGGGAGTGACAGCCAGGAGAAGCCAGTGGCTTTTATTGATTAACTTCTGTAGTTAAGACAAATAAGACAGACTGCAGATTTGGAAGCCAAGAAGCACCCCCTTTTTTGTAACAGACTGAAAGAGAAGCCTCTGATGGGAAGAGCTGACATTCTATGTTTTCCCTAGGAGTTCCAAACAACAGTTTCTTAGTGCACTCAGGTAAGATTAGGTTCTTTAAATACCAGGAAATCACAGTATTACAGAAAGGCTGAGGTTGGAAGGGACGTTCTGAGATCACTCAGTCCAAGCTCTGCTCAAGCAGTGCCAGCTGGAGCATGCTGCCCAGGACAGAGTCCAACCAGGTGCTGAATATCCCCATGGATGGAGACTCTACAAGCAACCTGTTCCAGTGTTTCACCTCCTTCAGGGGGAATTCCAAGGAAAACATTTTTTTTGCAAGTCTGTTTACAAAAAAATAGCTCCCCAAAATATACCTCCCCAAATGGTGACTGACAAACAGTTCAGAGACAACTGAAGACTACTGATCCTTATTATACTTACAGAAACTCTCTAATTTATAAACTTTGCTTCCCACATGATCCCTGCATGCAAACTTCCACATACATAAATGCTCATGTCCAGAAAAAGATGCTTAATTAGTGCTCAAGAGAAGTGTCGTCCTCTTTTGTTTTTCCCCCATGAGAACTAAATACTTCCCACATGATCCCTGCATGCAAACTTCCACATACATAAATGCTCATGTCCAGAAAAAGATGCTTAATTAGTGCTCAAGAGAAGTGTCATCCTCTTTTTTTTTCCCCCCCATGAGAACTAAGTAAGACAAAGGAACCACACAAGACACTCTACTAAAATCCCACAGTAGTGTCAGCCTCCACACGGAAAATAAGCTACTGCTTCTCCTAAGTAAGTAGCATCAAGGATGGCTAATTACTTTTAGCCACAGTCTGAAGTGTTTCATTTCCCAGGATTTGAGATCCTTCCCCACAGGGGGTTTGTGCCCAGCACTGTCGAGGCACTGAAAATAGGCATCACTTCAAAGTTATACCCAAAGATAACCAAGCTGAGCGCTGATTTTTTTCTGGACAGAAACTGTAGCGGCCAACTCTTACCTGGGTCTAAACAGGTGAATTTGCAGCACTCCTTGGGGTCCTTGCGATACTGCTGACAGCCCTGGGGCCGCTCGCACAGAGCAGCCACGCACATTTCAGGTTCCCCGTTGTGACACGTGCAGCTCAGACAGGGGTCGTTGCCTTTGGGGGTGAAATAGTAGCCTTCGTCGACAATGTTGTCTTTGATATCAACGCACGTCTGGCCTAGAAGAGAAACGCCCATCAGTGCCCACATGCCCCATTTATTCTCTGACATTAAGTGATTTGTAAACATAAGGGTACCACCAGTTAAAAGCCACACCTTCCCATTAAAGCAACCCTGCAGAGGGATCTCCAAGGAGCAGGGAAGATAATGGATAGTCTGGAGGCACGCAGGGATGATGTACGGCTCAAAACTGACAAAGTGAGTTGTAAGTATTTAATGGAATTGACACACTTTCAGGCATCCTCTCCAAGACACAGGAATTTAAATGGTCTGAGGAGTTTATGCTTTTCTTTTTAACCTTTTATTTTCAGTATACTTTATTTAAAAAATTTTCATTTTTTAAGTGAAAAATCTGACCGTGGCTGAAAACCACACATTATGCTCCCATTTATTTAAGCCAAGCAGAAGTTTAACTTCCCGACTTATTTTTCTTTTTTTTTTAAATTCACTGGGCAAAAGGCAGAGAGGATAACTAGCAATTTCCCCATATTTGTTATATGCATATTTAAACAAACAGGCTGAGCTAAACCCAACTTACTCCGTTTGCAGAGGAATGAGGATTTCTCGTAGCAGTTTTCAGCGAACCAGCTGTGCAAACCGTGGTGCCGAAGGGTAGGGAAATGGAAACACTGGAGCTGGGCACAAAGGACGTTTTCATTTTCAGACATAGCCGTACCAAAGATGGGGTCAGGGGGTAAAAACACTTCTGAAGAGCCTAGAAGGAGACGCATTGATATCAGCAGCCTGCGGGTGAGCAAAGCTTTACAAAGCTTTGTAAGGTCACTCATTTCATGCCACACCAACTCTGCTAAAGGCCACTGTCCTCCAGCTCCCATAAGCAGCGTTCCTCCGGGGGATGGAAGGGGTGACTCACAGAGAAGAGGCTGCTGTTTTCAAAGTACAGGGTAATTTTGTCATTCCACACCAGTGGGAGCGATGCTGCGGTATCTCCACGAGTGCTGCCTTCCCCAGTCCCCGGGGGGTTTCCCTGCCAGTTTTTACACACCCCTTCAAACAGCTGAGTGTGGCCATGCTCACTAAGGATGGAGGAGGAACCCATACCCATCTGGGACCTGCTGCTCCGAGCACCTACCTGTGCTTACACAGCTGTGTGTAGGTCTAACCCGTGCCACACACCCCAGCCCCACTCACTCAGAGCCCTGACAGTGTTCTGCAACAGCACTCCTGCAGCCGTGCTATGGACCATGGGGTCCTTCCAACTCATGGAATCATTAAAAACAGTGGATTGTGGTGGGTTCCAAACAGTGAGGACTCAGCATCAAGTTCTTTTTCCCCACGCCAGAGATTATTTTATGAACAGACACCTCCACAAAGCAATGCTTTGGGCAACTACTGCCCCATCAGAGCAGACTTATGGTTCTCCACAAGTACCTCAATTGACGGATACTTGGCAAATTCCATGTTTTTACATTAGGAACCCTCTTAGTAAAGGGGAAGAACATTTACTTAAACTAGCTGATCCATTCCAAATTTGTATACGCCTTGTCTTATTAAAACAAGAATCACAAGCATATAAAACATACAAACCACTGGTGTAAGTGAGAGCCTTGTACACTCACGTACCCCATCGCCTCTGGCACTAGAGGGGAAGCTGTTTCACACTTTCAATGTCTCCTTTTGTATCCGAAGCTTTTAACACCTGGGCTTTTTAGCAGTATGAAAAAGCCTAGAGGGGAAGCTGTTTCACACTTTCAATGTCTCCTTTTGTATCCAAGGGCTTTTTAGCCCTGGGCTAACCAGGGCTTTTTAGCAATATGAAAAAGTGATACCCAGTTTGGTACCTCATACTGCAAGAAGTGTTGAGGGCATTTTATAACTTTAAAATGGATTAAGATTTCCAAACTACAGGACACTAAATCACTTTTTCAGACAGATAATAGGAATTCAGGGTCTGTCTCACTACAAGTCAATGAAACTTAAGTAAAACCTTTCAGAAGCTTCGGGATGCTATTCTGTATTTTATTTTATATAGGTATCCCTTTATTAAATAAAAGGATTGCAAACAAAAGACTACATGGCATTTAGAAAGCTTATGTTTATATAATACATCAAATTAAATAAAACTTATGATAAAAAACTGGTATCGTGATTTTGTATAACTTGTCTCCCTGGTAGTAAACATCTTGTCAGCAGAGGGCAGTGCAGGCAACTTCCCAAACAGCACAGAAAGGTCCTTTTAAGGAGAAAGTTGTGTTTTTTTCTTGGGCTTTCACAGGAGAAGCCTACCTATATAAACAGTTTGGTCCAGATCAAAAATTACTATTATGAGAAAAAGCTGGAACTTCCTCCCTCCTTTCCTCTTGCTGTCCAAAGGCATCTTTATGTCCTTTACTTTAAGGACCTAATGAGAATGTTCCTGCCTCTACAAGCAGTTTCCTCTGAATATTCAGCCAACCCCATTCACTTAAGTCACAAAAGAAATCACTGTTTTTGAACATGGCAGCACAGTGAACAAATACTGTCACTAGGAAGCTACACAGTGTTCTACTCCTTCCCATGTGTCGCAAGAAGCATTTTTCAAGACCCAACCATTTCACAAAATTCTGTTTGTAATTATGTACCTGTCCTTAATTCCTTCCAGACTTTCCATTACTGAAAATTGTACACAATAAGAAAATTATTCAGATTAGCTTTCAAATGCTACACTGGAATTCAAAGCTTAAAAAAAAAAACCCTCTTTTCTCTAAATTTTCCATTACCTAAACCAGTACAGCATGTAGACATTCAGTTCTACACATAATCTTAAAGTCATTATATGAACTCTTAACGAATCCATCAACTGAATTAGTAAAAAATAAAAGCTATAGAAATGTAACTTTGCATTTTCAGCAGAGGGAGCTGCTTGTTTTGCAATTGAAAAAGTTCCGCCAGTGATGCCTACTAGATTAATGTGCGGTTTTTCATATAAACTGGGTTTTATTTCTGGGTTCAGGCAAATTTTCTCTTGGTTTCAGTAAACTATCTGAAATACTTTAAAATAAAAACTGAGTAATTCTGCAAAATTCAAGATTATTTTGTTTAAGTACATAAAAATCTACCAATTTTTAAAAAGCTAAAACCCTCAAGTATCCTATCCCAGTCTGTGCAAGGATTAGAATCAGGAATCAGCAGTTCATCTGGACACTCACCACAAAGAACAAGAAACCACGTGTCCTTTTCCTGGGCAAAGACCAAATACACTGAAAAAGTTCTTTCCACAAGACGCTGATGTGAAAAACTATGAAACTTCTTATACTTGAAAATAAGGCATGAACAAGAAACCACGTGTCCTTTTCCTGGGCTTAATCAAGGGCAACGACCAAATAAACTGAAAAATGTGTTCTTTCCACAAGACGTTGATGTGAAAAACTATGGAACTTCTTACACTTGAAAATAAGGCACGTGTATCAAGTATTAAACTCTTCTGATACAGTAAAGCAAAGCAGTTCCCCCACATTATTTCAACACCATCACTGAAGGAAGTGATGTTGTTCTTGTAAGTAATATTAATGCTTTAAGTCAGTTTCCACAGGCCATTTAATTAAGTAATAATTAGAGAGCCCTACCTTTATAGGCTACTTCCCAGTGACCTTCTAGGGAGTGATTTCGATTGGTGATCACATACTGATATCCCACCCAGAACCTACAAAAAAGAAAAAAAGACTCTAAAGATACATACTAGCAAATTAAAATAAATTATACAGAACCTTCCAATGTCTTTATAGTTAAAAACTAACTTTGAAAACATTCTGGTGATTTTTTCCTTAACATTTCAGCCCACATGTTGGCAACACAGAGACTACAACTGGGGAATAGTGGAAAATACTTGATAGTTTTCTATGTTTACAAATGATAACTCACCGTGTCTTTTATTTGTATTTAAAATGAGCACCTTATTCTATTGTTATGGTAGCACTTCAATTTCTCAAAGCCAAAACCCCCACAAAAACATCCAGAAGTCAAATATTTTATAAATATATATACAACTTAAGTAAGACTATTAGGGATGAAACCATGGAACTCTCCGGAGACAGAGCTCCATGGGTACTGAACCCCTGCTGGAGACTTGCCATGGCAGGCCACCAGACTGACAGAAAAAACAGATAGAAAAAAAAAGAAATACTGTTTGTTGTGAACTAACAAAATAAAATATCTAAAGCCACCGGAACGCAGTTCTTCAACTCAAAATGGTTTTTACTTCATTCTTATCTCAAACTCGAAGCCTTTGTCAGAGCTACTGGTAGTTAGCAGAAACAAAAGTTCTGTTGAAAAAATTAAAGAAATATTATTTTGGTACAAGGCAGGGCAGCAGTAAGTCATTGTACAATCCACCTGTCCTGCTGCAGTTCTGGAATACTGGCAAAGCTGCAGAGACAGCCTGAAGCAAAAAAAGACTCTGTGGAATTGTTGCCTGTCTGTTAATGTTAATTAAAAGCTAAAATGCAGATGGGCACTGCCAAACAGTCAACCAGCAGGCTCATACCTGAAGTCAGTTTTACCAGTACATTGTCTAAGGAAATAGAACTAACAGTATTTGTGTCACACAGAAACCATGAGATCTCTGTCCTCTCCTTCCTACTCACCTGCGCTGGTCCTTCCTCACGAATGTCTTTTCCTCCAAGTCCCACTCCTGGGCCAGGATGAAGCGCAGCTCCTGGTCTGCCGTGAAGGTGGCGAGGGACCCGTTCACCCGCTGACATGTCTGCACGGCGTCCCAGTAGTTCTCCCCGTTCAGATACACCCTGTAACAGCTGGCTGTGCCCTCATAGTGATGCCACCCTGTTGGGCACTTTCCTAGGAAACATGAAGGATAGAAGGGAAACCATTCCCCCCAAATTAGGACCTTTAAGATAATGCATCCTAATCAGTTTATGACAACGCAACGTGTACACACAACGTACCGCATATGCTTCACCCCCCCAGGAGACACACGCCTGACAGATCACAAAAGGCTTTACTACAGCTTTTGATAAAGTTTTTTAAAAACATATTTAAAAAGATGCAACTCCTAGTAATGTTTCATTGTGCTGCAACAGCCTTTAAAGTCTTTAATTAAGACTGATGATCTACTGTGGAAGATATTTCCCTGCACATCTTTATAAATCAAATCCGCTCGATCAATCCAAGTCAAAACAAGCAGCAAGAAGCAGGAAGAGAAAACCAGGAGGTGGCCAATTTAATGAATCTGCCTCTCTATCAGGTGGTTAGAAATACACCCAAATGCTGTGAAGTTTTCGACCTACTTTCACCAACAGGCTCAGTAGTATTCACATAATCCTGCTCTCACAGTCAATCACTAGTTTGGGAGGGTTCTGGGGCAATAGTTTGCTTTGGAAAAACTTCATTGCAAGGCGGGTCTTTAGGAATAAGAAGTGACCATGACTGGCTGCCTCTGCCTTCCCTCCATTCACTCAATGCCTTGAGCCATTCCTAGATGGAACAGGCCCTCGGGCTTTTGCCTGGCATTCTCAGGGGTGCTGGGTAACAGAATCAGAGAAAGGCAGGGGAAATTTAAAACAGACATGAAATACAACTTTAGCACCTGCATTTGTGATATTGATTTTGCACAACTCCTAAGAAAGGAACTTTAATTTCACAAACTGTTTCACGTTCGTCACGTGCATTCACAGAGTTCCCTCTCTTGAGTCTCTTTGTTCCCTTCAGACACAGTGATCTTTATCATCAAATAATGACATACAATCTTAATTTCTCTTTAAAAAAAAAATAAAGCCTAAATTGCTAAATTAATTAGCAGCAAGATGGCCCAGATTTCCCAGTCTGCAACTTACTGCTAAATCGGACAGGCTGCGCCACGTTGACGGTGTGGAAGCGGGTTGTCTCCCCTCCTCTCCCCCGGCCGTGCCTGGAGTCCACACTCTCCTTCCCATGGTAGGTTCGCTGGTCCCCTGTCAAGGTGGGGACCAGAAGGAACAGTCAGAACTGGCCAACAATGCAAGCAGAGGCAGACTACCTTTTAAGCTTTCTCTGGGTTTTAATTCCAGACATATGCGGTAAGTAGCACAGTCAGGGAAACGGAGATGGTAGATCCCTGCAGTAACAGCTTGGTCATTTTACACAGTACATAACCAAAACACCTACAATTGCAAAGAACCAAACAAGCCATTACACGAGTCCTGCAGAGTAAGCGAAATATTTTGGCAGATTCTCAAGAGCCTGCAGTTGCACACAGGACGCGACGCTCATCGTCTCAGTCGCTGCAGCAAATGCATCATCCCCAGTGCATTTTACCGGTTCCCGTTTACGGAACTGCCCACTCTCCAGCTGCTCTGTTTCGCTGTTGTGTGTTCGAGGATTTCAAACAGTTCCTCCAATACATTTCCCAACACATTCTCTGAGATCTAGGACAAAATTAAAACCAGGAGAGGAAACCTATCTTCAGCCAGAAGAACAAGCTTCTGAAGGAAATGTTAGCTCGGTATTTCTGAAACACAAAACCTTAGACACCCTCATCTTAGTGCCAGGGCTTTTCACTGGTTTAGGTGACAACTGGATTCGATAACTTTGGAAGAGCCCAGTGCACGGTGTTATTCCAGAAAAGGAGCTGAAGGGCTCCACATCCCTACTGGGGGAGATAAGGAGCAGACAGCTCAGATGGAGATGCTGCAGGATGGGCCGGAGGCAGCAGAACCAGCAAGGTCCTAGGTAGGTGGTGGGGAGAAACCTTTGAGAAAGACACAGATGAGCACCAAGGAAGGCTAATCTGGAAACAAGGGATTAACCTCAAAAAGAGAAAAATGAAGAACCCAAGAATTTAAGCATTAGAAATATCTAGTTATTTAATACCACTAGATGTTCTTAAATGTAGTAAGAGTTTAACCAGCACAAAGAGTGATGCAGACATTCATTTCTATACAAAAGATCAGCTTATTTTCCTTTAAAGCTGATTAGCTCTATTAAGCCTAGATAAACCTAATAAACCAGGCATAGTTTCAAATAAAGAGGGGCTACATAGTCTTCTTCAACAGGTTTAACTACATCTGTTGGAAAAATATTCAAAACTACATCAATAAAGCTTTCTCCTTCCAGACTATGTTTAAAAAGCAAAAGGTCCACAGCAATTTCATGAGAATTTAAACTCAGAGTTGGAGACTGCTCGGTCTGTTATCCGGAGGGAAAGACCTCCAGAAGACCCATCATCACATAATGCACTCCTTGGAACAAGTGTTAGCACCAAAGAGCAAAAAAATCAGTAGCTGTAGGTCAGGAAGAGCAGAGTAGCTTCGCATCCGTCTCGCTCTGGCATACTCAGTTTGCCCTGGGTTAATGGGATAAGCAAAGGATATTTAATTATCACGTTATCCCAGGAATTACAAGTCTATAGAGATCACCCATTAAGAAACGGCTGTGCATAATACACTCACTGGCCCTACAGGAATAAAGCAGTAATTCTACTGTTCAATATTAGAATACGCTATTTATCACAGGCAAGAAGTTAGTGCCAAGAGGTTCAGTTAGCGTACGATTCAAAGGCCACAAAACGCTAAAATAATTTGACAGTGAAGATCACTGATTATTTTTTATTACTTTAAAGGCCAATCTATTTTTAGTTTTAGATTTTGACTGTTCTTAATCCTAACGGTTCAGCAGCAGTATTTACACTATGATTTTCAGAGTGATACTGAGACACTAAAAAAAGCAGATCTTTAATTATAGTAAGACTTTAAAAATAGCGCTAACTAATGTAAAATGCTTTATCAAAGAGGAACCGAGCTCAGCACAGGAAGCTCTATTTTCCCATGGCATTAAATGGCAACAACTAAACCCAAAGAACCAGTAAGAACCAAATGCACAAGGAATTAGTTCCCTTTCAGAAGTGAGAGCAGATGCAACACCATATGGCTGACCCTCTGCGGCTAAAGAGAACGCCCACGAGGACTTAACAATTTACCTCCCCTAGGAATAAACCAGAAGTTCAGGGGTTTTAACACATGAGGTTAAGAAAGGGTTACTTGGGCTAGCTTCTTAAATTGATGGAATTTATGCCAGATGCTTTGAAAAATAGCTACAGAGATCCCCCACAAAGGGTGTTCAATGGGTCCTCACCCAGGAGCAGGACACTCGGTCACTCGTCGGCATCTGCCATGGGCAAGGACTCACCACTGGAACTTCTCCTTCACCACCAGTCACTTCTCCTTCAACCCGACACTGTCAGCGGCTTAATAAACCAGTGCTCTTCAAATAGTAAATTGCTCCTATTTGACCTGAATTTTTGGTCTCCGAGAAAAGCAACAATGACAAGTTTTTCCAGGGCAATGAAGAAGGATTCTAACAAGCCTCTAAGCCACTCCACTGCCAGGAAGAGCCATTGCAGGCTCTGCTGGCAAAGTTGTCACTGGACTGGGTTTTGATTGTACTTTCTCAATACTTTGCAGAAGAATTTTCTATGTACTTTGCTGTTCCTGCTTCCTTTATAAAAATATTTTTATCTTTAAAAATAATAGTGACATGGACTGAGTGTTAAGATAACCTAACCCAGAAGATCACAACCTAACCATGTTTGAGTGTTTCAGAAAAGAAAAGCCATAATTTTTATTGCTTGTGTGCATACTTACTATGCTGAAAGCCATCAAATTTTGGAAGATCAGCTGTTTTCTGAAACCTTTATTGTTCCAGATACTACAACAACAAACAATAACAGCAAAAGTAATATTTTTACTAGCCAAGACAGCTAGGTCTATTTCATTTGACTTCATACAATTATAACACAAACGCAATTTATTTGTCAGTTGGTGGGGAAAAGAGAAGAACGGGTTCAAGGGAAAATTACCTGAATTTTTGGTCTCTGAGAAAAGCAACAATGACAAGTTTTTCCAGGGCAATGAAGAAGGATTCTAACAAGCCTCTAAGCCACTCCACTGCCAGGAAAAGCCATTGCAGGCTCTGGTGGCAAAGGTGTCACTGGACTGGGTTTTGATTGTACTTTCTCAATACTCAGTACTTTCTATGGACTTTGCTGTTCCTGCTTCCTTTATAAAAATATTTTTATCTTTAAAAATAATAGTGGCATAGACTAAGTGTTAAGATAACCTAACCCAGAAGATCACAACCTAACCATGTTTGAGTGTTTCAGAAAAGAAAAGCCATAATTTTTATTGCTTGTGTGCATACTTACTATGCTGAAAGCCATCAAATTTTGGAAGATCAGCTGTTTTCTGAAACCTTTATTGTTCCAGATACTACAACAACAAACAATAACAGCAACAGTAATATTTTTACTAGCTGAGACAGCTAGGTCTGCTTCATTTGACTTCATACAATTATAACAGAAACGCAATTTATTTGTTAGTTGGTGGGGAAAAGAGCAGAACGGGTTCAAGGGAAAATTCATGGGGATCAATTTATTTTCTCCCCTCGAATACTATGGTGTGATGGACACGAGCATCCTCCCACCTGTTTCCAAACGGATCAAAACATCATTAGCATTCACCCAGCTCCTTCCAATTTACAGCTGCCATCTCATTCTCTCTACCACGATTACAGCCCAAGTACAGTGGGATACATCAAGACAATTGTCCAACACCACCGATTCAGTGACCATTTTCAGTTGTTTAAAACATCAAGCTACCACTTCAGCATGGAAGTTTGCCACGATCAATTTATTTTCTCCCCTCGAATACTATAGTGTGATGGACAGGAGCATCCTTCCACCTGTTTCCAAATGGATCAAAACATCGTTAGCATTCACCCAGCTCCTTCCAATTTACAGCTGCCATCTCATTCTCTCTACCACAATTACAGCCCAAGTACAGTGGGATACACCAAGACAGTTGTCCAACACCGCTGATTCTGTGACTATTTTCAGTTGTTTAAAATGTCATGCTACCACTTCAGCATGGAAGTTTGCCGTGCTGGATGGCTCCTACTGCATTTTACATGGGTAAACTTTTTCAATTCTGAATCAAAACAGTTTAGAAGAAAAATGAAGAGATCAGGAGGGGAAGAAGTTTTGCTCACGTTTCTAACTACCTTCTAGTCAAATTAGCACTAACTCACAGGAAAAGCTTTGTGCCAGTCATGCAGGTTTTGCTGTTCCTGTTGGGGACACAGAAAAAAAAGGAGGGGACAAACGCAGTCAAGTTTAATTTTGAAAGAAATATGAATTTGCCCATTATTCCTAGAGGCTGGAAGGAATTCAGTTGCATTGTCCATACTCTTCCATGTACATCCATGGAGACTGCTCCATGGATCCACAGGATCTCAGCAGCCCTGACGCCTGGTGTCTCATTAGGGGAAGCTGAGCACACAAGCAGAGCAGAAACCTCCTTTTTCATCCCCTTTGGTGCCTCCATCATTCGGACCAAGTAAAAGGAAGCAAAAAAGCCAAGTGGTGCAAACAGACCGTGAGCTGAGGCCACACAAAAGGGAGAGCTGGCACCAGCCGAGGCGGGAACAGGCCAGACCGTACGTGTGCTGACAGCACTGCATGGGGGAGAAACAGGGCACCACATGGAAAACCGCGTTCGGAGGAGCTGAAAGAGAAACCGCAATCTGCCGCATGCACTGGGGTCTGCCTGGCACCAAAAAAAGGCAGGCAGACAGAAGACACCAAGCGTAATAAAGAGAGAGGTCCTTGTAGGGTCAGGACTCATAAAGGGCAAATATTGGATTTTGGGAAGTTGAACTGGTTTCCAGAGTTATTGTGTCACAGACAACAAATCACTCAAACCAACCCCTCCACAAGGATGGATGGATTACGTCAAATTATGTCAAAATTAAACTGTTTGTGAAACAACTAGGTCTTGTCACATCGTATTTGTTCCAAGATTGGAGTTTCTTCTGTTTAAACACACAGATTCTCAAAATTGACATAAAAAGCTGCCTTGTCCCCTAAGCTTCAAATTTTCTGTCCAGCATATTACCTACTAAAAGCTTGGAAAGCTTTTAA